TTTTTGAGACAGAGTCTTGCTCTGTTGCTCCGGCTGGATGCGATCTCAGCTCCCTGCAACCTCTGCCTCTAGGGTTCAAGCGATTCTCCTGCCTCAGCCTCCCAAGTAGCTGAGATTACAGGCGTGTGCCACCATATCCGGCTAATTTTTTGTATTTTTAGTAGAGATGGGGTTTCACCATGTTGGCTGGGCTGATCTCGAACTGCTAACTTCAAGTGATCTACGCATCTCAACCTCCCAAACCACTAGGATTACAGGCATTAGGCACTGTGCCCAGCTGGAAGGCTTTATTCTTAATCAGCCCCCTGCTGTGTGTGCTTTGGGAAGAGGTGCTATGTATTTTCACGGCTCAGTTTCCTTATCTGTAAAATAAGACTGTTACCCTTTTCCCAGTGGGCAGCATGGCTGACCATCCTTTTTTTTTTTTTTTTGCATTTAGGTGAGGTAAGACTGCCCTGGAATTTATAGCAGTAGTGTGTATGTGTGTTTTCTTGAGTGTGCAGGAGTATATGGGAATTTCAAAGTAGGATGGAATGACTTCTAGGTGTGTGAATGTGGGAATTATGGTCAGCCCTGGGTTCTCATGCCTTCTTTCTTTCCTATGAGGTCTTTACAGAGACCCAGTCTGCCTTCAAGAAAAGACAGAAGTAGAAAGGATGGTGGCTGATTGTCTGACAAATTGTTATCAGGTACGCAGGAAGTGTATCCTTCTCCAAAATACAATACTTGCATCACCAGGTAGACACATTTCCTTCTACACAGAATGATCTCCAGAGCTTCTTACAGCAAATAAAGTCTCCTTCAAGGACTGGGTCCCTAGTTGAATTCCCTGAAGGAGTGGAGCCTGTCATGTTGGTGAGGGTTTACCGTGAATGTCATCCCAGTATTTCAAGGCTTATTAATTGGTCTTCTCTCATGATCCCAACTGCATATTTTTTATTTTGTTGAGTGTTCTGACACATAGTAAGGGACATGGAAGTATCCTTTGCTCAGAGAATTTATCCATTCATCAGCGTTTATCTAGCATCTGCTCAAAAGTGTGATGCAATAGAGGGAAATAAGATGACCTCCCAGTCTGTTTGTGTTAGATAAGATCATGTGTAAGAAGTGCCATTAAAGCCATGTCACTGGAGGGGATCGGCAGTGGGTGGGTGTGGGTAGAGAAGACTTCCTGGGTCCAGTGAACTCTGGGGTGGGCAGTGTGAGCCCTCCGACTCTGTTGGTGTTGCATTTTGCATTGAACACTGGTAGACATGTTAGGCGGCTCAAGCCGGCATGTGTGTGTTGCTTTAAGGATTCAGTGACCTTTGATGATCTGGCTGTGGACTTCACCCCAGAAGAATGGATGTTACTGGACCCAACTCAGAGAAACCTCTACAGAGATGTAATGCTAGAGAACTACAAGAATTTGGCCACAGTAGGTAAGACTGGTCTCATCCCTTGTAGCCTGCTGTGGGACAGATTATGTTATGCACTTACTGTGTTGCAGATCAGAGATAGCAACTCTGAGCACAGTGGGAAATAACAGACATAGTCCCTGTCCTAATGGGCTTTCATCTGCTTGGTGGTTCTCAAAATGTGGTATGAGATCAAGAGCATCACCAGCACTGTTCGAAATGTACGTTCTGTCTCCACCTTTGACATACTCAGTCAGAAACTGCACCACGGCCCTGTCATCTATGTTTTAACAAGCTCTCCTCATGAATCCGATGTGCTGTAATGTTGAAGAGTGAGAGGTATAGTTGTTTCCAATGAGAATGAAGATCTCTGTTTCACCTAATTTCCTATTTGGATAAAAGTCTTAGTGCTTTCCAAGTATGTACATCAGCCTGGATTTGGGCTTCAGGGATCAGAGATAACCAATCTTTTGGGGGCATGGACAGATGATATTTGCATTTTTAGCCCTTTTAAAATAATGTCACTGCTTCCATTGGAACTATAGTTATGAGTTATAGAAAGATTTATCATCTCTTGCCTGAGTCTCTTGTGATATATCTTTCTCTGTGCACAGGATGTCAGCTCTTGAAACCCAGTCTGATCTCTTGGTTGGAACAAGAAGAGTCTAGGACAGTGCAGAGAGGTGATTTCCACGGTGAGTGTTCACGAAGCACTGCCCTGGTCAGTAAGTTCAGTATGTGTATAAGTATAATGAGGAAACTCTTTAAGATGCACTTTATTTCACAATGTGGAGGCTATATATATATATATATATATATATTATATATATATTTATTTATTTTATATATATATATTTATTATATATATATTATATATATACGTATATATATATTATATATATA